CCGGACGCCCCTTTGTCGAAACCGCCGGCCACGCCGTTCTCAAGCCCACCTGCCTCTGCTCACTCAAGCCGGCCCTCCGCTCACTCATGCCCGCCGTGTGTTTCATTGTGAAAGCGAAACCACTTTGTCTGGCCTTCCAAAAGAGGACACGACTAGAAATCAGTGGTTAAGTTGTATTTACAAAACTGTTCCAGAACAGTTCAACCCAAATATTCAGATGTGTGCAGCACATTTTATGGAGGACTGTTTCCTGATCCTGGTAGAGTAGACTACAATGTCGGCTATTCTGATTCACAGACAGTAAGTACGTTTTTTATATTTAAAGAATTTGCCACTGACGATTCAAACGCGAGTTTTGAGCAGTGTAGAGTAGCACTTGTTGTTTGTCATTTCTCCGATCACAAATGCAGATATGGTTTTATGTTTACGTGGCATGATGCAACGCAATGCGTAAAAAGACAGTATAAGTCATTATAGTCCGTAATTATGTCCCCACTGGATGCAACAAATGCCTCGTTTGTAATGGGTTTTAATGTTTTTGTCTCATCGCTCAGGCCGGGACACGGCATCACAGTATGGTAGGGGCGTAATATTTCCGTCACACGCTTGAGGTATTCGGTCAATCACAACGCACTGGATAGCTGGCCAATCAGAGCACACCTCGCTTTTCAGACTGATGAGCTTTGTAAAAATCGATGCGTTTCAGAAAGGCGGGGGATAGAGGAGAAACAATAATGTACAGTTTGTGGAAAATAATGTTTTTTTTTACCTTAAACCGCATAAACACATTTCATTACACCAAATACACAAAATAATGTTATTTTTAGCAACATCATATGACCCCTTTAAGCATTAGAAGCTGTGTGTATTTTCCCAGTTTACGCCAATAATTATAATATTGAGGTGCATAACAAAATATATATTAGGACAAAAGGAAGTCATGTTTTGAGAGACTTAAACTTTATCTTCAACTGTTTATTTTAGGAGTCACTATCAGTGTTTTAAACATGGCAGCAGATCTGGCTTTACTCACTGTTCTCGTCCAGCTTCTTGTTGATTTGGTGACAAGTGACAGCATTGACTTCTACAATATCATGCCTGCTGTAGAAGGCGAGTTTGTTTATTCCAGTTAATTTTGTTATTTTGTTCATTAACTGCCAGTGACTTTATAGCGATACTATAACACAGCGTTCATGTCTGTGCAGCCACCCCGTACCCCAAGAGTTTCAAGTGCTTCACATGTGAACAGGCCTTAGACAACTACAGCTGTAACCGCTGGGCAGAAGATGTGTGGTGTCCTCAAAGTGAGTTTACTAAACACAAACCCACCACTCTCAGATCTTCACAGTTGTCTGTAGATTTACTTTGTAAAGCAATATCCTTTTAAATTCCTAACAACCTGTTTCTTCATTTTTAGATACTCAATTTTGTATGACAATACACCACTTCAACCATCATGGAAAGACAAAATTTGTTACCAAAAGATGTGCTGTGCGTGAAGAATGCCAGTTAGCTGGCTGTAGACATCACAAAAATACACACCATGTGAGTATTCACATACACATTATTCCACTCATACAAATATAATCTCTTACGTCAAAATGATTCACTTACAAAATGTGTTTCTGTCTTGCAGGAGTGCATATCTTGCTGTGAAGGGATGGTTTGTAACGTAGAGCTGCCGACCAATCACAGTAATGCAGTGTTTAGACAAACCAGCAGCTCAGCAGCAGCCACTTTCAAAATCTGGGATTGTGTGATCCTGCTGGTCCCAGTTCTCATAGGAATGCTACCATTGTGATCCTCAATCATAAGAACCTGTTCGGTGATGAACAGCACTGCAAATCATTGAGACAAAGAAGACATCATCCACACTGGAATATTAATACAGTCAGATGGATGTTTTCATTAAGGCCACAGTAATATTGTGCAGGAGTAAGCTAGCATTCCCATTCATCTCAGTGGCAGGATGTTGCAGGATTCCCTGTAAGAATGTGATTTTTCATCTTTGCTGATGGGCTCACAGATGTTCTCATGACTGATCAGTGACTAATCAGCCTGGAGCCGCAAGAAAAATTACATCATGGCTTGGCTGACTGGTTAATGCACCACAAGAAGAAGAAGATCTCTCACTAGTGACTGTCTGGACTCTGGAGCTGTAATATAAGTCAATTTCACACTTGGAGGCTCCCTTCAAAAACAGTTGGACACTGAACGATCTACAATAATATAATTAAATATTTGTGACTTAAACATTGCTTGCAAATTATTTTATTCTTTTAGAAAACACAATGAATTGGAGTGGAGAAGGATGCATTTTGCAGCCAAATGGTGTAATGCAAATCAGCAAAACCATATCTTCATTTTTCAGCGAGGAGACGGCCAGTCGGCCAGTGGTGGAGGAACTGTGTGCACAGGAAGTTGCTGTGTCAGGAAGGTCTGTCAGTGGAGTAGTATCGCTTGTGATGACTGCTTACTAATGACGTGCTAAATAGGACAGAGAACCAGATGGGTTGCAAAACAGCATTTAGCAACTAAAGCAGTGGAATTAACTTATGCTGCCTCACTGGATTTGTATTGAGCAAATTGAGGCTCACACACTGAGCATTAGAAGTCTCTATGTGGGATGTTCCTGTGGCTCTGGTCCCAGATACTGTCACACAGGCCGAGCACAGCAATGAGAGGAACGCAGGATGTGTTGTTCTAGTTTTCTAAATGGTGTGAATGTCTCTAAAAGAGATCTGGATTGCTGCATAAATATCAGTGCTTTAAGAAGGTGGACCTGCATCACGTAAAAGCACTGATTAATTAAAATTAAGTATATTTTGAATTATTCTGGCTTGACTATTGCAAATGCTGTCATGTTTTACTGTCCCAAAAATCAATAGAAATAAAAACATGACCATATTTAACTAATCCTAAGGTGTCCATGCACAAATATTCTATGTTAGGTTATTATGCTACTAATATTTCCCTTACAGCTGGCATTACTACTTATCTATTTTCTAAATATATTTGATTCATTTTATTGTGAATGATTCATCTGTTCATGTTTAACATTTTTAAACCTCATAATTATTTTATCAAAATGTCATAAACCGCACCACCACCGACCTACAACCTACTGCAAGTTTGCATTTAGCTGATTTGCCTCCATCCAGTGAAGAACTGATAGGTAGAATTGAGTCCTAAATTTTTTTTTTCTTATTCAATCATTTTACTCTGAATCAAAATAGTGAAGAAAAGATCTGTCTCTACACTGTAAAAAAATTTGGCAGCTGTGGTTGCCGGAATTTTGCTGTAAAAACTACGGTAGCAACATTTTAGGTTTTATGGTTTTAACTTAAATTTACAGTTAAATACCATAATTTCGTTAACTGATATAATGTTAATATACCAACCTATTGAAGTACTGAAATCTGTTTTGTACCTTTGTAATACACTGATAACCACCAAATGCAGGTGGTGATGAGATAGGCTTTGGTTCATCATGTGACTATCACAAGCAGCTTTTAAATAATCACATATATAGAAGGTGCACAGTGTCATTCACACAAACACTAAACACCATCATGGTAACACACATGAAACTGAAATAATGCAATAAACATTCATTTACCAACATTAGGGGTACACACAACCCTAATATACAAAACTGATAAGAAAAAACTAAGAAGAAGCAGCTATTTCAACAAAAAAACATCAAATTTAAAATGTAACGCAGGGAATTCTGGGAATGTCAATTTACGGTTGTTCACTGTAAATTATACGGTCTTTTTCACTTCCAAAAACAGTATACTACCGTAAAATTAATGTCCAATACATGTAATGTCCAATACAGTTTTTGACCGTATATAGTAGGGGAATTTACCATTAACCATTTAACAGGTTTTTACTGTAGCATTTTTACAGTCTTTTACCGTTAAATTCACAGTCATTTTTTACAGTGTACTTTCATTTGTCATCACAACTTTAAAAATGTAATTAAAACTCATATAAACAACCTTTTATATATATACAATTTTTGCAATTGCAAATGTAGTTAATTTTTAAATTTTTAGTCATTGCATATAAAAAATTTAATAAATAGGAAATTCTATATGTAAAAAACGTAATAAAACCTATTTCTAGAACTGTTTCAGATGTTAATGTACAAACCTCACAGCGCGGCTGTGTTCCTTCCCGTGAAGGTTGAAGTGAGTTATGATAAATAGTCTTGTTTACGTTCATTGGGTTGATTGAGTGTGTAAACGGTTTCTCGTCTCTTTAATCTATAACATACCGCTGTGCTTTTTGTATATGAGCAGCAGGGCTACGTTTTTAAAATTCCTTCCACGCTGATCTGAGAACAGTTTCTGTCTTTTCACATGAGAATGCCCAGGTTTAAATTTGGAGGAGGGAGCTGAACCTCAAACAGCACAAAAGAGCAACCCCCCCCCCCAGAGCTATGAGAACAAATAAAAACATTCCCAAGAGGATTTCGGTGTGGGACACAAAGCCGTGGACCATTAATATCATTGCTGTCTGGAATAATGAGGGGTTTTTTTCTCTCTCTAAACCAAACATGACATATGGTTCTTCCTCTAAAAATGTTGCAGAGGAAATGAGATTTGGTTTCTGTGTAGCTGCTTTACTGACTTATGAAGTTAAAGTGTGTGTGTGTGTGCCTGCTCCGCTGATTGTCTCGCCGTGTGTGCTGTTTGCTCTGGCTGCTGGCTGTCTTTGTTCTGGTTTTATTAGGCGTGGAGCTGGAGTCTGTCACTTTCAGGCTTTGGAGAGTCGTTTATCTTCCATTGAGAAAAACAGTATCAGTGCTGCTGCTCTCATCTGCACCGCCTGTGTCTCTACTATTCAGAACCCAGTCTGTTCAGATGAGGAGACCGAAAGCTCATGGCTCTTATCCATCAAACAGAAGCATTACTGTGAGAATGTTAGCCAACCAAAAGACATTGTAATTAATTAATACTTTAACAGTATGCTTTATTGTACAGTGGAGTGCAAATGTTACCATTGGCCGTTTTTAAAAAAAGAAAGAAAATGTTATAGATAAAAAGAATAATAAATTCTTAAAATAATTAAGAAATATTTTAGCTTTTTAATGTATTTTTAGGTAATTAATCCAATAATCAAATTATAATGTTGATCATGTGAACAGAGATTTCGTACAGATTTTCTTGCATCCATTGTAGCACAAGATTTTTGAAAATTCTCATGCTGGAGAACATGATCATCAGGTTTTACAAATACTAATAAATTGTAAAATTCATGTAATTTTTCTACAATTCTTAGCTTTTTAAATTATTATTATTAATTATTTCCTAAGCTATTTTTAAAGATTCATTTTTTAATTTATATAAATGTTCACTCAAATTTGTTTCTGATAATGTCATTTATATTTAAGGAAATATTTTATACGATTTATACGTTTTTACCATTGTATAACACATTTTCATAAAAGATGGATTGGTAATGATCTTTAATATATACAGTAAACATGATGTTTTTACTACAGTTTCCCTGCAATAAAATGCCAACGTATATATTAAAGGAACACAGGACTCGTTGGAAAGTCCCCTCATACATTTTTATTAGTTTAAAGGAAAATTGACATGATTTAATGATTTATTGGATTATCCAGTGATGCATTTGGTAATAAGAGTGACTGCAAACTTTTACGTCAGTACAAAAGCAACATTCATTTACTGAGAGGCATTTGATACTCTCAAACAATGAACAACCTTCATTCCTGCTCTTGTTTTCATGGTGGCGCCATGCAAATTTGTGTTTCATTGAAGTCTGGTGATTGATGATGTCTCCTCACACAGGCATCGTCAATAATTGAGTTCTTGTTGTTAAGGAAGTGACTTGTGATTGGCTGCACTGTGCACATACATCTTTAGCAAATGAAATAAAAACAATCAATAGCACCTTATCTGAAGAATATGGAGATTTCATCTGGAATTCATCTGTCTTTTCTTTGATCAGTTTGGCATAAATTCATTCATTCATTCATACTGCAGGAATCCGGACATTAACTCTTGGCAGCTACTCTAGGTTCTATTCTAGGTTTTACTTTAGATGTTTAGAATGAAATTGTGGGGGGAAAAAACATGAAAATGCAATGGGAAAAGCCTTTCCCTACTACAAGGGCTCTTGACAAACAAGAAATGTACTTTGAACACAAATACCCTCTTTGGACAAGCCTTCTGTGGTAATCCCAACACAGCACTGGGCGCATTTGATCATTGGATCGGGCCTGTCCTGTAATCCGACTGAGTCACCCGGCTGCATTGTCCACTTGTGTATATGCTTAACATTCCGCTGCAGGGCCAGAGATCACCGCACTAATTGGCAGCCGGCAGTGTTTCCAGAGGGATTTTGTTCTCCATGAGGGTCTGACCTCTCTGAAACCTGGTTGAACCAGACCTCAAAGACAGCTCTGTACCCTCAGTGCCACTTAGTCATTGGACAATAAAAATACCAATGAGCGAGAAGTTTTTCTGATGGATTGCAGAGTAGTGGACCTCATTGTTTATGATTCGGAGACATAGATTACGGGCCTGTGACCTTTTAAATTAACACTGCAGAATACAGTGAAATTCTTAAACATGCAATCAGAAGTATAACAAGAAAGAAGGTAAAGTCAGTATAAAAATTAAGTAGCAATTGCTTTACACAAAGTGAGATTAACCCACGTTATAAACTACATAACCTCAGAGAACAAATAAAAGTTTGTACAAAACCCAGAGCCTGGTCTAAAAGTAGAGACTCTGCTACAATGCTGACGGGAGAGGACAGGTGTATCTCACTCTGTGATCTTTAAGCACATGTGAAGAGCAGTTTCTGTGAAGTCTGAAGACTTGCTGAGATCTTACACCCCCTGTGTTGCCAACAAACCTTTCAACATGAAGAAGAAATAACTTGGGGCTGATGGAAAGTACATACTTAGCCCCTTTTGACCCTCTCTCGCCAAACATTTAATGACCAGAAATAGAATTCAGCTAAACTTTTCGTTATCCCTCCCACATTAAAAGGTATTAAAGGGTTAGTTCAGCCAAAAATAAAATTGTTAGCCAAGAGGAAATCAATATTACGTTTCTGATTCAAAAATTGACCTTTTTGTAACCAACTTCAAGAAGTTATGACGAGTCGTGAAGAAAATAAATTAGATTAATTACTTTTCAAGACTAGTCTAAGTGGTTTATGCAACCAGCCCAATGTCTCTTAAGAAAACTTGGATTTAACAACTTGATTAATACTTTACTTTGCCTTTTATGTACTTTTCGAAGCTTGAAAATGTTGATTACATGGACAGAAAGTTAGAAGAATATTATTCATTTTTGTTCTAAAGATGAATGAAATGCCTATGGGTTTCATAGTGACATGAGTGACTAAATGATGACAGAATTTTAATTTCTGGATGAACTAATGCTTTACTGTAATTACAATGTAATGTATGAGTATATGACCTGAGCACAACAAAAATCGCCTGAAGCAAATGTCTTGAGATATGACTGTAGATGAAAGCAGAATAAAAAGAAGTGGCCTAAGTCATTAGATGTATAGGAATGCAGAATTGCTACCAGCATTTCATCTCGAAATCCTCTTTTGCAGATGGGTATTTATCTCGTTCTGTACAAAAGATTGACATGTTGTGAGGAAGGATCGGTGCTCCTTGAAGAGACCGGAACGGATGATTGAAATACGCCGGAGGCAGTCATGCCTTCACCACTGTCCCTGTAGTGCACATCATCAAAGCCATCCCATTCATTCAGTTTGAGATGATTATGTGCCTCTCGCTTGCCAACCAAATCAACTAGACCTGGTGACAGGTAAGAGGGCAGACCAGGTGTGTTATTCCCTTCTGGAGGTAAAAAAAAAAAGAAGCATAACATTACT